GAGCGAACTCCGCCAACAATATCCTAGCTCGCTCCAGCTGGCTGCTCAGGTAGGGCGTGTGTGTCAGACAGCGCTCAGCACAACACAGCCTTCTCTGGTGCCAGCAACGTGTGCTGTGTAGCACGCACACACGTACACGCGCACACACGTACACACACTCACAATTTACTCGTGGATTATCCACTTCCACACTTGGGTGAATTATATAACTACACCAACGGCTGGATTAGTTACTTCAAGTGGTTGGTCATGTGGTTGGTTGGTTGGTCAGAAGGTTGGTTGGTTGGTTGGTCAGATGGTTGGTTGGTTGGTCAGGTGGTTGGTTGGTTGGTCAGAAGGTTGGTTGGTTGGTCAGGTGGTTGGTTGGTCAGGTGGTTGGTTGGTTGGTTGGTTGGTTGGTTGGTCAGGTGGTTGGTTGGTTGGTTGGTTGGTTGGTCAGGTGGTTGGTTGGTTGGTCAGAAGGTTGGTTGGTTGGTCAGGTAGTTAGTTGGTCATGTGGTTGGTTGGTTGGTCAGAAGGTTGGTTGGTTGGTCAGGTGGTTGGTTGGTCAGGTGGTTGGTTGGTTGTTTGGTTGGTCAGGTGGTTGGTTGGTTGGTTGGTTGGTTGGTTGGTCAGGTGGTTGGCTGGTTGGTTGGTTGGTTGGTCAGGTGGTTGGTTGGTTGTTTGGTTGGTCAGGTGGTTGGTTGGTTGGTTAGTTGGTTGGTTGGTCAGGTGGTTGGCTGGTTGGTTGGTTGGTTGGTCAGGTGGTTGGCTGGTTGGTTGGTTGGTTGGTTGGTTGGTTGGTTGGTTGGTTGGTTGGTCGGTCAGATGGTTGGTTGGTTGGTTGGTTGGTTGATTGGTCAGGTGGATGGTTGGTTGTTTCGTTGGTTGGTTGGTCAGGTGGCTGGTTGGTTGGTTGGTTGGTTGGTTGGTTGGTTGGTCGGTCAGATGGTTGGTTGGTTGGTTGGTTGGTTGGTCAGGTGGTTGGTTGGTTGTTTCGTTGGTTGGTTGGTCAGGTGGTTGGTTGGTTGGTTAGTTGGTTGGTTGGTTGGTTGGTCAGGTGGTTGGCTGGTTGGTTGGTTGGTTGGTCAGTTGGTTGGTCATGTAGTTGGTTGGTTGGTTGGTTGGTCAGGTGGTTGGTTGGTGGTTGGTTGGTTGGTCAGGTGGTTGGTTGGTTGGTTGGGTAGTTGGTTGGTTGGTTGGTCAGGTGGTTGGTTGGTTGGTCAGGTGGTTGGTTGGTTGGTTGGGTAGTTGGTTGGTTGATTGGTCAGGTGGATGGTTGGTTGGTTGGTTGGTTAGTTGGTCAGGTGGTTGGTTGGTTGGTTGGTTGGTTAGTTGGTTGGTTGGTCAGGTGGTTGGTCAGGTGGTTGGTAGGTTGGTTGGTTGGTCAGGTGGTTGATTGGTTGGTTGGTCATGTAGCTGGTTGGTTGGTTGGTCAGGTGGTTGGTTGGTGGTTGGTTCTTTGGTCAGGTGGTTGGTGGTTGGTCAGGTGGTTGGTTGGTTGGTTGGTCATGTAGTTGGTTGGTTGGTTGGTTGGTTGGTCGATCAGGTAGCTGGTTGATTGGTTGGTTGGTTGGTCAGGTGGTTGGTTGGTTGGTTGGTTGGTCGGTCAGGTAGCTGGTTGGTTGGTTGGTTGGTCAGGTGGTTGGTTGGTTGGTTGGTTGGTTGGTCGGTCAGATGGTTGGTTGGTTGGTTGGTTGGTTGGTTGGTCAGGTGGTTGGTTGGTTGGTTGAATGGTTGGTTGGTTGGTTGGTTGGTTGGTTGGTCAGGTGGTTGGTTGGTGGTTGGTTGGTTGGTTGGCCAGGTGGTTGGTTGGTTGGTTGGTTGGTTGGTTGGTCAGGTGGTTGGTTGGTTGGTCAGGTGGTTGGTCAGGTGGTTGGTTGGTTGGTCATGTAGTTGGTTGGTTGGTTGGTTGGTCAGGTGGTTGGTTGGTGGTTGGGTAGTTGGTTGGTTGGTTGGTTGTTTGTTTGGTCAGGTGGTTGGTTGGTGGTTGTTTGTTTGGTCAGGTGGTTGGCTGGTTGGTTGGTTAGTCAGGTGGTTGGTTGGTTGGTTGGTTGGTCGATCAGGTAGCTGGTTGATTGGTTGGTTGGTTGGTCAGGTGGTTGGTTGGTTGGTTGGTTGGTCGGTCAGGTAGCTGGTTGGTTGGTTGGTTGGTCAGGTGGTTGGTTGGTTGGTTGGTCGGTCAGGTAGTTGGTTGGTTGGTTGGTTGGTCAGGTGGTTGGTTGGTTGGTTGGTTGGTTGGTTGGTTGGTTGGTCAGGTGGTTGGTTGGTTGGTTGGTCAGGTGGTTGACTGGTTGGTCAGGTGGTTGGTTGGCTGGTTGGTCAGGTGGTTGGTTGGTTGGTCAGGGGGTTGGTTGGTGGTTGGTTGTTTGGTCAGGTGGTTGGCTGGTTGGTTGGTTGGTCAGGTAGTTGGTTGGTTGGTTTGTTAGTCAGGTGGTTGGTTGGTTGATTGGTTGGTTGGTTGGTTGGTTGGTTGGTCAGGTGGTTGACTGATTGGTTGGTCAGGTGGTTGGTTGGTTGATTGGTTGGTTGGTTGGTTGGTTGGTTGGTTGGTTGGTGGGGTTGTTGGTTGGTCAGGTGGTTGGTTGGTGAATAAGTTGGTTGGTTGGTCAGTCAGGTGGTTGGTTAGGCGGTTGGTCAGGAGTTGTTTGGTCAGGTGGTTGGCTGGTTGGTTGGTTGGTCAGGTAGTTGGTTGGTTGGTTTGTTAGTCAGGTGGTTGGTTGGTTGATTGGTTGGTTGGTTGGTTGGTCAGGTGGTTGACTGATTGGTTGGTCAGGTGGTTGGTTGGTTGATTGGTTGGTTGGTTGGTTGGTTGGTTGGTTGGTTGGTTGGTGGGGTTGTTGGTTGGTCAGGTGGTTGGTTGGTGAATAAGTTGGTTGGTTGGTCAGTCAGGTGGTTGGTTAGGTGGTTGGTCAGGAGTTGGTTGGTCAGGTGGTTGGATGGTCAGTCAGGTGGTTGGTTGGTCAGACAGGTGGTTGGTCAGGTGGTTGGTCAGGTAGTTTGTTGGTCAGGTGGTTGAATGGTCAGTCAGGTGGTTGGTGGGTAAGTTTTAGGCTCAATCGTTTCTAATCTTTTTTCTTTCTTGTCTTCATGTGACTTACTTAATCATGCAAGAATCTTTATTTAATGCTGATGACTTCAATGTTTAATTAGATTCATGCTAAGCCAACATGATCTTGTTTTGAAATCGGCGATATACTTAATTCGCAAACAGTTCATAACAAAGATTCGAATAAAAGAAATGGGTCTGATCCAAAACACACGTCTAGATCTAAGGTAATGGGACGAGCTTGCAGAGCGCCGTGTGAGCACCAGATGCTTGGTGTACATCGGTGTGTCTGTGCCTGACACGTGCTCTCTGCCAGAGGATTCCTCTAACCTAGACAGGTAAACTTGGCATGCTGTGGAAATCTGCGCAGGGGGAAGGGGTGGGGCACTGGGGGTTTAGTGTGTTGTTTTGATAACTCGAAAGCTTATGTTTACATTTTATTTGACCGGAAGTTTAGTACTGCTACAACTGTCTTAGGTCTCTTGTCCCCTCCCCACCCCCGAAACAAATATAATTTATAAACAAAATATATACTTCAACCAGCTACCCCCATCCCCTGAAAAATGTCAGAAAGAAACACTGGCTAAGACATAAGGCGTATCTAACAAATACAGGTTTCTTTTATACGCTTATTATCTAGGTCAAGATGGTGGATGTTCATGTTTATTTTTACAACAAAAAAATATTTTTCTATCCCATCGACTTTATTACAATCAAGCCCTTACGCTTTAGGGAACGTTTCGACTCGAAGTCTTCAAACGATGAATCAAAAAGCAAGAAATACAGTGTGGGCAGACACTTTTCAAACTCCAGAGTTTAAAATAATTTTAACTTAATGCTAAAGATTTGTGTGTCATTTTAACTTAATGTTAAGGATTTGTGTGTCATTTTAACTTAATGCTAAGGAGTTGTGTGTCATTTTAACAGATCGTTTGTCAAAGGAACAATCTCAGCCAATGACGTCACTATGTCGGTGTAACCCGGCCCGGTAACTGTTATTCCACCCCTACAAAAATCTTCATCTAAGCGTTACCCTCTTCATCATCTATTTCATAAAATTTTTGATTAGGGTGTCACCCCGTGCAGATTGCACCCCCCCCCCACCCCCCTTGACGGTTACGATCACAAGCACATCCGAGTTTGTCTCAAACACACAATCCCACCCACAACATTATGTGTGTAGCGTGCTCAGATAGGACCAGGGGCGTAGCGAGGGGGGGGGGGCGGGGGGTGCGGACCGCACCGGGTGACACCATTTAGGGGGGGTGACACCAAGGCAAAAAATAGCAAAATATATAGAGAAAAACTTGAGGGGGGTGCAAATCGAAAGTTTGAGGGGGGGGGGGGGGGGGTTGCAAATTGAAAACTTGAGGGGGGTGCAAATCGAAAGTTTGACGGGGGGGGGGTGCAAATCGAAAACTTGAAAGTTTGTCACCGGAAAGGGTCGCTACGCCTCTGGGGGGTGACACCATTAAGTGCCGCACCGGTTGACACCCGACCTCGCTACGCCACTGGATAGGACTGCGTGTTCGGAGATTAAATGTGCAGATCCTTAATCAACTTAATCAACTTAATCAACTTAATGCTTTTGAGTGTTTTTAAAAGAAAAAGGTACTTTGTGTGTTAACATAAGTGTAAGTATAAATTGTGTAGGCTCAATGAAGAGACCAGAGTAGGCCTTAACTACATCTATTTTGTTCCATGTTCCTGTACAGAAAGCTCATAAAATATGACCTCTTCTTTGCTCGCTCATTTCTTGCCGTCCCTCACGTGTGTTTTTATTTAATATTTTTAGTTTAGCTACACGTCCCAATTCTCTAGCCCCACCCCCACACGTGACTTCCTGTGCTTATTTACAAACTGTGAGTGATCAACAAATCGGACGCTATCACTGAGTGTAATCAACACACGTTAGTGAGCACTGGTCACACAACACATGTCAACAAACCGTGTGAGGGGAAAAAAGACCTACCTACAGGACTGAACACAGTACTCCGTCAATATCGTCGCCTACAAGAGGGGCTCGCGCCTGCAACTATGCCAACAATCTGTGAGTCTAGTGGAAACTTTATCTCGCGCTGCCTCTCGCCATATATGTCACGTGCCCCCGGCCCGCTACTCCCCTGGAAAACACCTTCGCCTCTGCCATATATAGAGCTCAGCCTGGCCAATAGGATTACGTGGTGGGCGTGGTGTCGCTAGGTAACCAGCGACGCCGGAAGAATTTCCAGTAGTCAGCGAAGGAGGATGTGAACCATCACTGTGACGTCACGAGGTGTGGGGAGGCGATTACTACACGATATGGGAAGGAGCGAGGGCTTCTAGGTGTAAACTTTCGTGGTCACAACAGGTAGCTACATACACGAAGGGGAGGGGGGGGGACATACTGGCCTGTAGGTGTTTTTTACCTGGTCAGGTAGCCCTACATAACCGAACTAAGAGGCGAAGCTATGGGAGGGTGTGGGAAGGGGGGGGGGCGCCAAAAGGCGTAGAAAAAAAATTAAATGCTCATTTTAAGCTGCAGCTGTGAATTATAAACAAAGTTAAGAATTTTTTAACGGCTGCGAGTCTTTACATACTGATTTAACGGCTGCGCAGAGGCGTATCCAGGTTTTCGTTGTAGGGGGAGCGAAAAGAGCAAAAAAGGCGCCGAATTTTTAACACGTTCTATATACGTGTATTATATATATATATATATATATATATATATATATATATATATATATATATATATATATATATATATATATATATATACTAGTTGTATGTCATTACTTCGCTATGATGTAAAATAAATTGAAAGTAGCACTCTGAAGAAATGAGAAAAAAACACACCATGTAGGCCGACAAAACAAAAATTGTATCATCTAAACAAAACAAAAAAAAAATATACACACACTACAACCAAAAACAATGAACGTAACACAGTCTGTTTTGTAATTCTTGTAAAAAAAATTCTTACATAATAATTCCTGGGAAATTATTTAAGACAAATGAAATAGGGCCAATAATCACTCTCTTAATATAAATATGTATATATCTACACATTTAATTATAAATGTCAAAACAAATAAATAATTACTTTAGATTGTAATGAAATTGTTTAACACTATTCGTGTTTACAAAATGTTTTTCTCTATAATCAGAATTTAATATATCGTCATCATAAATGCTAAAGTATTACAGCATAATGAAAGTTTTTAAAAAACCACGCTTTTCGATATAATAGAAAAACTTTCGGAATAACAGCCTACACTTAACTAAATATCGGTCTTTTAGTTCAGATCATATATTTTTAATTAACTACTGCTTCTTTGTGTTCTTAAAGATCATTTTTTAACATAGTGATAGGTATGGGTTAGATGACTGTATTGATCACACACTTTTTACTGGTAATTTCAAAAACAATATTCACAGAGTTTTACATTTAAAAAGCTAATTTTCTGGCGGCATGGTACTTTGGTACATCATTACGCGTTTTTCTACATGTACTTAACACTGTCCGGTCATTTTAGGTCAATTATCCAACCCAGCGTATACCTAGGTGTGACATTAATGTCGCTCTACACAATTGTGGTGGTGAGGTGTGTGTGTGTGGGGGGGGGAGATAACCAACTCAGAGTGAACATAGCATCCGTTTTTAGATGACTGTTCTAAACATACATATATATTACACAAATATATATTACACAAATATATATTACAGAAATAGATTTAAATACGTAGCGGTGGTATTATGACAATATTTTTTACAGAGGGGTCCATGGGGGAGGGGGTTTTAACTGTTTCATATAATTTGTAATCGTAATCACTATCGCCCAAACTGTAAGAATACTACTAATTAATCGTGATGACGTTGTTGACCTTGTCAAAATTTTCCCCACCACTACGCAGTTTGCTCATAAGTAAATTTAAATAGAGGTGCCACATCAGTTGTATTTGTTTCTGTATTGTAATTTTTTAAAAATTAATCACACGATTCAAACTGTATATATAAAGTAATTATGTGTGAAGTTTTATGTATAACATTTTCTAATTCACTTATTCGTAAGCAAATACATTATACAGTTGCCTTAAACTTAACACCGCTCTTGCCAAGTGGTACTACCGACTTGGGTTTTTTAAAAATCGCAATGCACCGTAATGGTTATTTTTAGAATGGCAAACTGATGCAGCTGTTAATACGTGTTGTAAACGTAGACACTACTAGACTAGTACAATTATGCTTAATTACTGAAGGAAAAGAAATCTTGTGATTTACATAGATGTGCCGACCAAAAATATTTTTTTTAACAAATATCATTGTTTAAAACTTTGACTTTAAAAAGTTTCCAAAAAGGTGCCACTTTGCTGAAAATGGCCAGAGGGGGAGCGGGCCCTGCTTCCCCCCCCCCTCCTGCGTACGCTACTGCGGCTGCGAGTCTTTACATACTGATTTAACGGCTGCAAGTCTTTACATACTGATTTAACGGCTACGTGTCTTTACATACTGATTTAGCTATTTTCTACGTTTATTGTGTAACTCTACAACATACCCTTAAGAAACAGTGACCGGAAAAGACCGCTTTCCATCTTTTCCTAGAATGGGGTGGGTGGGGGGGGGCGCTTTATCGAAGACTAAAATTGGAAAAATTTTACACCTTATTGGTGAGATGATAAACTTTACCACTTATAAAGCAAACAAATTGTACTAAAGCATTGGGTAACATTTTAAAAAAAAAGAGCTACTGACGTTTAAAACCCGCTCTACCAACTTTGTCCAAGATGGTGGGGAGGGGGGCACTTTTTCGCCAACAAAAAATCGCAAGGATTTGTACTGGATCTGTGAGTAGATAACTCTTTTAACACTTAGAAAATAAACTAATTGTATTGACGAGTAACGTAAAATTGCACCAGCAAGTTTTGCTAAGAAATTACTCGACTAGTACTTTGTACGATTCCCTCTACATCAACCTGAGAGATCAGATACTTTTACTTGATTGCATTACATCTTGCCTGGATCACTGCATTAAAGAGAACTAAATCTCACGGATTCTTGAATCGCTATCCGATCAGTAAAATAGCATACGGTCGGAGAGAATAAAATTAGTATATTGTACTGAATAGATCACGTTTTTGTTTCTTTTTTCATAACTCTTTGTTACTTTGTTGAACCCAACTGATAATTTAAAATTGTAATACACTTTAGTCGAAATTGCTCTACAACCACGACCAAAAGTAGACCAAATAAGCTTGCACCTTCGACAAACTACACTCTAAAGCAGTGGTTCTTAACTTTTTGGAGGTATCGAACTCCACCAGTTTCATATGCACATGAATCAAACCTTCTTAATAGTAGGTAGTCCAAACTGGCGAAAAAAGTGCGTTTTAGGGTCAGTTTTTGCGGTTTTCAAAAAAAATAATTTCACTACTTCTAGTTGTCCTATAAGAATAAAAATTAAATGTCAATAAAGTTTAAGTCTTTAACTTTCGTAATCTGGTATTTTTATATCTGTAACATATGTTTGAATGTGTTTTATATTTGTTTGAAAAGTATCAGTTACGTCAACAAATTGCACCGTTTTGCGAGTACCGATCGACCCCACACTGTTTCATTTGGTTGCGGCTTCGCGACGAAGCATTGTAGAAGCATAACCTTAATGTCACTTTAAAGAGCGAATTCTAGTCTATCGTTTGATGTACAAAGTGAAAAAATAACTAGCTTATTTCATTTTAAAAAATCAGTTTTTAAACTTTAAATGACGATCGTACACGAAAACAAACTAATTTTGTTTCAATTTTTACACCGATGTAAAGTTCACTTTTGTAACTACTTTGTGCTGTAAATTCAAGTATTTTTTTTTTACGGTCGCGAAGCCGTGCCCTCTATAAGCATATAACCCTCGAGTCAACTTTCAGCCCCGAATTAGTAGCTCGCCGAACGGTTTTAAAGGTTGACGACCGATGATGCTAAACGGATTTTACCCTTGTTAGAGCCTTCAAACAAGTTGTAAGTATTAAAATGAATTTTAAGTTTGAATGTCAGTTTGGTTTAATTAGTACACGTTATTAATGTAAATTTGAACGCTACTAGTCCACGGTTTTAGCGTGTGAACTACGCTTGTACACAGGGTATGTTTAGACGTGAAGCTATTTAATTCAGGACATTCTAGGGACTTAAAATATGGATGCACTTAACTATTAGATGCTAGTGTTAACTAATTCTTAAAATCTATCGAATGGGATTAATGATAGCGTCGTATTACTACAGTTTATCTGGACTATCACGTCAAAATTATGAATCGACAATTTCAAAATGGCCACCAGACAATCCTGGTTACTATGTGGACGAACTCAATTATTTACAGGGAACGAAGGTTATATACTTATAAAATATTAATGAAACACAAAAGAAATGTATAATTATAATAACTATACATTTTTATCAATTTATTTAAAACAAAAGACAATAAATTTTAAGCACTAATGTGATTAATTTTTTTTATTTTCTGTTGTGCAGTCTGATTCTGATTCCCCTGCTAAATAATGTGAAATGGTCTGCGCCAGTCTCCTTAATAAAATGTACCAGATCAATTTTTAGATAGTGGTGCAATTTATTAAGATTGTACATGTTGTGACTTAGTTTTAAATGTTACTAGAATACCCGTCATCCGTTGGATAACTGTGGGTTTTGGGGGTCATCCATCAAAAAACATCACGTCTGTCACTCAGAGGCATAGCGACCCTTCCCGGCGCCCGGGGACAAACTTTTCAATTTGAACCCCCCCCCCCCCCCCCCGCAAGATTTTGATTTGCAACCCCCCCCCCCCCTCAAACTTTTGATGTGCACCCCCCCCCCCTCACTCAAACTTTCGATTTGAACCCCCCTCAACCTTTCAATTTTTTTTCCAAACCATTTTGGCGCCCCAACATATGTCTGTCCCCCCCCCCCGCCCCCCTTCCCCCTCCCCTCCCCCCTCCCCTCCTCGCTACGCTACTGCAGTGTCACTTATTGTCACAAAAAACAGACCCCACATTCAAAAATGTTTTTTATCTTTTAAAAACACCGAAAACACCGATTTCGGACTATCCCTTCATATACTGACGTCACATGTGACCTACTCAA